GAGAGCGTCCGAAGATAATCCTCGTCTCCCGCACCTGGCCTGGCGTCGCCCGAACTGCCCTTCTCGACGTGCTGTGGTCGCCTCGCAGCTCCTCCTCCTAGGCCCATATCAACACCACTGGGGCCCCAGCGTGACTCACCAGCGCTCGGTCGCCCACGATGCTCACGGCTGGAGGTGCTTCCCAACGGGTGAGGCGGTCGATGCCGTGGCGGCTTTCCGCGGTCACCCACGCGCCCTGGGTCTGGCTGGCTGCCTCCCCGCCTCCGCCGCCGCCGTCGCCGGCCGCCCCTCGGTCAGGCCCGCGAGGCGTCGACGGTCCCTCGACGGGCGGCGGAAGCGGCAGCGCCCTCGGACCCGCCAGCGCCAGGCCCACGTTTGGCACCAAGGGGAGCCGCGGCTCGGGCAGCCGACGCCGTCGGGCGAGCTCGTCTGGATGGGCCCCCAACACAGCCGGCAGCGGCACCTCCCGAAATCGGTAACACCGAAGCCTGGCCTCCGCCAGAGCCCCGCCTTGAGCTCCGCAAAGCAACCGCTCCATTCCCGGAGAGCTCTCTTAGAGCTAGAGGGTTTTAGATTAGAAGCCTGACGGTGGTGGTGCCCGCCAGGAGCTCCTCCACGGCGGTCCACGTCCGCCGCAGCGCCTCGCCTGACCCGGCAGCTGGTTCGGGGGCGCTTTCCACGTGTGCCTGCACGCGTGAAGGCACGCGTGGAAGCGTTCCTGGCAGCGCTTCAGAAGCGCTGCAGGGGAGCTCCCCAGAGCCCTCTAGGAAAGATTTCCCCCCCCCGACGGTCTCTCCGCTCTCCGGGTTTTGGACGCTACCAAGTGGACGCCACGTCGGGGAACACCCAGGACTCTAGGTAGCAGTCCCCGTCGGGCGTCACCACTTCCACCTGCTTAATCCCTCTGTCCGGCAGGTAGACCACACAGCGCTCATGCCGTAGGTGTCGGGGCCGACAATTGAACCCCACGGCTACGAAGTCTCCCTGGCACAGGCCGTGCAGCTCAGCGTAGGGGTGTGCCATCTCGGCGGTTCCTGATCTCCTCGAATTGTGCCCGCGCCTCCGCCTCCAGCGACGACTGACCCGCGGCGACCCCCTCGGTCAGCGAAAGCAGCCCACCCGACGGCGCCGCCGAAACCCCTGGCTCGACACGCGGGGCCGGAAGGGTCGCCAGCCCGAGGCACGGCTCGCGGATCACAAAGATGAGGGCGACCACGAACCCGCCCACCACGGCCCCGCCGCCGAAGGCGGCCAGCAAGGGCACGACCAAATCGGGCGACGCAGAGCACGGCACCGCGGCGGGGCAGGCGGCACAGGCGGTCAGACGCTCTGGGCCGCACCGCTGGAGCTGCTGGCCCAGCAGCTCCAGAAACCCTTCGTCTGGCGCTGGGGGCGCACAACAGTCACACACGCAGGTCGGATGCCGAATCGGCAATGCCAGCAAGGACCCCAGCGCCGCGCACCGCAGCTGCAGCGCGTGCTCCACGCACTGCGGGCCAGGGTTGGGCGCTCGAAGCTATTGCAGAACGAGCTTGAACAACAACGTTTACGGACGCACAACCGTGCCAGAGACCTTCCGCTATGATGCGCCAACTCGCTGGGAAACCGATTATTTTTCGCGCACGCGCAAATATCATCATCATCATCAGCAGCAGCATCATCATCATCAGCATCATCATCATCATCATCATCATCATCATCATCATCATCATCATCATCATCATCATCATCATCATCATCATCATCATCATCATCATCATCATCATCATCATCATCATCATCAGCATCAGCATCAGCATCAGCATCAGCATCATCATCATCATCATCATCATCATCATCACCATCACCATCACCATCACCATCACCATCACCATCACCATCACCATCACCATCATCATCACCATCACCATCACCATCACCATCATCATCATCATCATCATCATCATCATCATCATCATCATCATCATCAGCATCAGCATCATCATCATCATCATCATCATCATCATCATCATCAGCAGCAGCAGCAGCATCATCATCATCATCATCATCATCATCGTCATCATCATCATCACATCATCATCATCATCATCCCCCTCCTCCTCCTCCTCATCATCATCATCATCATCAACAGCATCATCATCATCATCATCATCATCAACAGCATCAGCATCAGCATCAGCATCATCATCATCATCATCATCAGCAGCATCATCATCATCATTGCCACCATCATCATCATCATCATCATCATCAGTATCATCATCATCAGCAGCATCATCAACATCATCATCATCATCAGCATCATCATCGTCAGCATCATCATCAGCAGCAGCATCATCAGCAGCATCCTCGTCCTCGTCCTCGTCCTCGTCCTCGTCGGCGTCGGCGGTGGCGTCGCCATCATCATGGTACTCAGAATAGATACAACCATCAATCGCCATTGCTGTCGTTATCATCACCACTGGCATCGTCAACACCACCGTCACCGCCAGCGTCGGACGCGACGGAATTTCGAGGACAGGCGAGTGAGGGATATGCAGTCTGTTTGACTCTTTCGTCACTCTCTTTGCGTTCGTCTTCTCTCTGTTGTCTGTTCGTGTGTGTGTGGGGGGGGGGATGGGTGGGTGGGTGGGCGGGTGGGTGGGTGGTGCGTGTTGGGGGGATTCCTCCCCCCCAAAAAAAAACAAAAACGCGGGGGGCGTCCAGGGGTTGTTTGGGGGGTGGCTCTTCCCCCCCCTCGTCCCCACACAACAAAAATCTGGACGCCCGCCCCTTTTTTGGACGCGCGCACACACAAACACACAAAAACACAACACACACACACACGCACAAACACACACACACACACACGCGCACCAGGGCGTAGCAGGGCTCACCAAGGCTTAGCAAGGCGTTCCAAGCCTTCGCAGGACCCAGCAAAGCTCAACGATACTCTCCAGGACCCAAGGTTCCGCAAGGATTGGCAGGACTGTCACAAGCTTGCCAAGGCTAAGCCCAGCAAGGGTATGTTTGTTTACAAGTACTTAGCAAAGCTTGTAAATGCTGTGCAAGGGTTAGCAAGGCTTACCAAGGCGTAACAGACTTGCCCGGCCTCAGCAGGGCTCAGCAATGCTTACCAAGCCCAAGCACAACTTGACAAAGCTTATCATGGCAAAGCAGGGCGAAGCAATGTTCATTCAGGCACGAAGGGTTTACCAGTGATCACCAGGGCTTAGCAACGCTTAGCACTGCTGGGCAGAGCTGGGCAAAACTTGCCTGGGCTCAGCAGGGCGCACCAGGACTTACAGAGCAGGGTTTCGATGAGCTTGAACAAAGGCTTAGTTGTTGCTCGAATTGGTCCGCAGGGCTTACCAGGACTTAGAAGGACGCTGCAGGGCTTGCCAAGGCTTCGCAATGCTTAGCAGGCCCAGTAGGGCTTAGCACGGTTTGCCCAGGCACGAGCAGGGCTTACGAAGGCTTTGCAAGGCTTGCCAAGCCTTCGCAAGGCTTAGCAGGGCTCAGCGAAGCTTAGCGTGGCCGAAGGACTTACAAGGATTCGCAGGTCTGAGCAAAGCCTGCCAAGGCTGACCAATGCTCAGCAAGGCCCAGCAGGCCCTGGTAAAGCTTGCCAAGGCTGGCAAGTCTTGGCAAGGCCCAGCAAGGCTTACTAAGGGTTAGCAGGACTTAGCAGAGCCTGCCAGGACTGAGCAGAGCGTGGCGAGGTCTATCCAGGCACAAGGACTTACCAGGGATTACCCAGGCAGAGCAAGGCTTAGCAGAGCTTAGCAGGGCTGAGCAAAGCTTGCCAGGACTCAGTCGGAAGTGCAAGGACTTAGCAGGGCTTGGCAGAGCTTGCCAGGGCTTAGCTGTGGCTAGCGGTACTGAACAGGGCGTACCAGGACTTGGCATGGCTTCGAAGAGCTTCCAGGGCTTCGCAAGGCTTAGCAGGCCCAATAGGCCTTAGCACGGTTTGCCAAGGCACGAGCAGGGCGTACGAAGACGGGGCAAGGTTTACCAGGTCTAGGCCGGGCTCAGCAAAGCTCAGCAAAACTCCGCAAGGCGTAAGGCTACGCAAGGTGCAACCGGGCTTGGCAAAGATTACCAAGGTTTAGCAAGGCTCAGAAAGGCTTAGCAGTGTTTGGCAAGGCGTGCCAAGCTTAGCTGAGCTTCGCTAGGTTGACCTAGCTTAGCAGGGCTCGGCAGAGCTTAGCAGGGCATAGCAAAACATACTAAGGCTCAGCACGGCGTGCCAGGCCTTAGCAGGGCTTTGCAGAGCTTGCAAGGGCTTAGCAATGACTGGCAGGCCTCGGGTTCAGGAAGGCCTACCAGGGCATAGCAGGGCTTACCAAGGCTTAATACAACCTACTCAGTCTTAGCAGGGCCCAGCAGGGCTCGGCAAAGCCTGGCAGGGCTGAGCAAATGGCGCAAAGGCTCAGCAAGGCTCCGCAGTGCTTAACAAAGCTTGCAAAGATTGAGCCAGGGTTAGCAAGGCTTACCAAGGCTTACCAAGGCAGAGCAGGACTCAGAAAAAGTTTCAAGAGCTGAGCAGCGCACGGCAAGGCTTCTCCATGCTGAGAGGCTTTCCAGGGTTTGCCAATTCATAGCAAGGCTTAGCAGAGCTTAGCAGGGCTGAGCTTCCGCAGACTGTGCGAAAATATATACCATCACCACCAAGATACCATCAGGGAATCGGAAAAGCCAGAAACATGCCCCACCCCCAGCATGGTCCTCGAAACTCCAAGCCCACGCCTGTTGGCGATGGGCTGGGATTTCGAAGACCATGGGCGGGGGAACAATTGTCCTGTCGATTGGCAGTTCCCCGAGATATCCGCAGATCGCGAAGGTATCTTCCACAAAACCCTCGCATCTACGCTACGATGCTGAAGAAGAGGATGAGGAGAATGAGAAGGGAGAGGAAGAGGATGAGGAGATCACGGGGCGTGCAAGCCTGCACGTCTCGTGCAACAGACCGCATACTCCACAATGGCCTGGCCTCGAAATTTCAGGGCTCGCCCAGACACCTTGCCAGGCGGTCGCGCCACTCCGCCAGCGCCTGCAGGGCCCGGAACTGCCGAGAGTCGGGCGGGCGCTGCTTGGAGCTGAACCTCTCGCACAGCCTCGTGACGACGACAATCCACAACGCCGACGCCGACGCCGACGCCAAAGACGACGACGACAACAACGACGACGCCACCGACGCCAACGCCGACGCTGATGCCGAGGCCGCCGTCGACGCCGACGCCGACGACGACAACAACGCCGCCGCCGCCGCCCTCGACGACGACGACGACGACGACGACGACGACGCTGACGACTGGGCTGCTTGAGGGCGTCGGTGGCGGGAGCAGCGAGGTGTGAGGGAGAGCTGAAGGGGGGAGCAGGGAGGGAGGGAGGAGTGTGGGGGGGATGAAAGCGGGAGGAAGGGAGAGGAAGGGAGGAGGGAGGAGGGGGGCAAGTTTCAAGGGAGGGGAGACAGCAGGAGAGCAGGGATGAGGGAGGAGCGGAGGATATAATGAAAAGCTAAATGCGCTCGCGCCATATCTGACAGCCTAGCCCTCCCTCCTATCCCTTCCCGTTGCGCTGACTTTTCTCTATCCGCGGACACGTGTCAAGGCCCACATGGGACCCCGCAAAAGATCCCATTGGGACCTGTGGGAACTGTGGGGCCTGTGATACCTGCGAGACCTGTGTGACCGGTGGCACCAGCGGGACCTGCGGGACCTCTGGAACCTGGAGGACTTCTGTGGGGCCTGTGAGACATGCGACACCTCTGAGACCTGCGGGACCTGTCGGACCTGCTGGACCTGTGGGGCATGCGAGGCCAGCGACACATGTGGGACTCGTCGAACCTGTGGAACCTGTCAGACAAGTGGGACCTGTGGGGCGACCTGCGACACTTGTGAGTCCTGTGAGACCTGTGGTGCCTGCGAGACACGCGGGACATGTGGGACCCACGCTGGGGCGGCAGCGCCATTTGGAAGAACGGGAGCTCAGCGCAAATCCGAAAATGAGGACCAAGCTGCAGCGAGAGCACCAGTGGTGCAACACTGTAAACAATCGGATGGAAAAAACACAGTATGAGAAGCCAGTTCAGGCAAATCCCGTGTGTAAGAAGAAACGAGACGCGAAGGGATCGGCATTACAAGGAGCGAAAGGAAAGCTCGCCCGCGCAAAACAGTTGAAAAAACAGTGCAAGGAGGGTGGGCGGCCATTCTCACCACATATCCGGGGGAGGGGGGAGAGAGTGGTGCTCCTACTGTGCAACTTTGGAGTAGGAGGAAAATACCAGGAGGAAGAAAACAAAAATGGTGGAGGCGGAAGAGCAGAGAGAAGGAAGAGAGATGAGTGGGGCGAAGGGAGGAGTAGGAGGACGACGACGACGAAGCAAGCACGAGGACAAGGAAGTCGAAACCATCGAGGAGCGAGCAAGCAATCAGGCAGTGGGCGGGAGCCTCTGGCGAGGTACAACCACCACGAGCCACAGAAAGCGTGGACGCAGAACAAGGAGGACGAGAAGCGAAGTTGGGCCCACCCCTGGCATGTGACGATGACGATGACGTTATCCTTATCGCTATCGTCATCATCGTTATCGTTATCGTCGATGAGTGCATAGAGCGGCGTTGGTCCACCTGGAGGTCCGGGACGATCCCTTCGTCCTGAACACTACATCGCTGTGGGAGAGCTACCGATCAAAGAATTACCCCAGCCGACCGTCGTGCAAGCCCCGACGAGCCCTCTGGACAACCCTGGCCAGCCCTGGCCAAGCATCCTGGCCACCTCTGGCCAACCCTGGTGGGAAAGATGTTTCCACCAGACATGGTAGCTTTCTGCACTCACGAGGACTGGGGAGAGGACCCCGAATCCGAACACCGGGGAAGCCTTCTAGGGTCCCATTTCTGGCAGGACACCCTTCTCTTCATGGCAGTCGCCCCCCTGGACCTGGAGCGCGTTCTGGCTGCGGTTTCGAAAAGAGTCCAGCTGCCATGACAAGACGCCGCGCGGACCCCCCCCCCATTCCCACAACACACAGCCTCGAAACTCGATCCTCGAACGCTGCCTTCACGGCGAGGAGTTGTACCCTCAGGCTCCCCTGGCACCGAAGGCCAGCTTCGGAAGAGAAAGGAGAAACACCCACCATGACGAGAAGCCTCCAGGCTCCAGGGGGAAGGCGCTGAAACACCTGAGAGCTCGATTCTCGAGCGATGCCTCCAAGACGATGATTTTGCACCTCTGGATCCCCTGGCACCGAACGCCAGTCGGGAGAGAGAGAGAGAGAGAGAGATAGAGAAAGAGAGAGAGAGAGAGAGAGCGGAGACCTCCCAAATGGGGTCCGACTAGTTGGGCTCGCATAATCGCGCAGCACCGCCAAGACATCGCCGATGCATCGCCGATGCATCGTCGACGCTGGCGAAGCACAGGCGCCGTCGGCGTGCAAAACAAATCGGGCGCCACGCCTCCGACCCCTCCTGCTCGGACTACGTTTGAAAGGCCTGGAGAATCGAGCGTTGATTCATGGGGGGGGCTACACACTGGGGGCGGGGAGAGAGAAAGGCGCACCTGTCGCGCACCTTCGGGGCCCGGGGGGGCCCCTTCAGGACCCTGTCAGGGCCCACGTCCTGCAACTCTCGATCCCCCCCTTTTGATCGACCCCCCACAACTTAGGGGAACACACATACCATACAAACTAAAAAAATAAGGTCCGCGCGGACATTCCGGATCGGCGCTGGACCCCTCCCCGGCGCGCGGACTCCACCAGACGGGGCCGAGCGCTAAACCAGAAAATCCGCGCAGAGCTCAGACAAGTTCAGTGATGTTCATACGGTCTACCCTTCTCTTTGATTTGATCGACCTCCCCATCACGAAACGCCCGAGAGAGCGAGAGAGTGAGAGAGAGAGAGAGCGCGAATGCCGGGGAGAAGGCGGCGGCGAGCCCCCGGGGCGGCGCGGCTGCGGCGCCCCCGGGCCAAAATGGAATTAGAGCGGCGCGACGTGCAACAGAAAAGTGGAAAACGATGCGCACCCCCTCAGCTCATTATTCCACACATTCCGCCCTAGCCTTCCGCTTATATGTGTTGCAATATGATGCATGTGAACTGCCGTGAATTGAATCAGGTTTGTGAGTGCCGACGTGAAGATCATACAAATTTGAACACATTTCAGAATTATCCAGGCGAAGGACCCAACCCTATGCAAGTGTAGGTACCGCAATCGTGAACATTGTCTTCGGTAGAATTCCGTATGGGGCCACGAAGCGCTGCACTGGGTGGGGGGGAACGCATGCGGGCGGTAGCACTGGGGCCGCCGTGTACTGGGCGGGGGGGACGCGCGCGGGCGATAACATCGGGGCTTTCGGCGGAGTTCCCTATGCAGGGTGTGCGGGAGGCATGCGGGCGGTAGCACTCGGGCCGTCGGTGGAGAGCTCCCTATGGGGCCACGAAGCGCTGTACTGGGTGGGGGGATCCTCATCAGCATCAACAGAATAAGCGACCTCATCACCATCATCATCATCATCATCATCGTCATCATAATCAGCATTAGCATCATCATCAACACCAGCATCAGCATCAGCATCAGCATCATCAGCATCATCAACATCAACATCAACATCAACATCATCAATATCATCATCATCTTTATCATCATCAGCAGCATCGTCATCACGGCTATCCCAAGGCTGGGGACACGAGGTGTCACACGTCACGGCATCACGTGCCCCTCGAACAGTCGCCACCGAGAAAACTGGGCTGGCCTGAAAGCGAGACTTGCCGCAGACAGCCCGATGTAAAAATTTGCTTGATCGCCTCAGGTCTTTGAAGAATTTTAGCATTTCGGGCGGCATCCTTTAGGATCAAAGCGGCCACGTAGCCTCCCAAAGACGCCCACACGATGTCCCAAACCTTCGAACATTCAAGGATTCACTCTGCATCTTGCATCGTCGCCGTGTCGCTTCTGATGGGCTTTGGGGGCCGCAAGGTGGCACCACGATAGCCGCAAAGAGCGCCGAGAGGGACCCGTAAAGGCTCAAGACGGCCCCAAGAGCACCCCTACGTGCACCCCACGTGTGGGCCACGAAAACTAAAGGGGGCAACTTCTCGTGCTCCAAAGGGTCAGAGCTATTCGGCGTCGCCCCTTTAATTGATCGGTATCATCCAAGCCGGGCCAAGACCCCAAGAGTGGCCCAAAGCCCGCAGAAAGATGCCCCAGAGAGCTACACAAACTGTCAACATTGCTCTGGCATTGTCCGCAGTATCCCTGCACATCTTCAAGAAACTCCAAGACCGAAAAAGCCTGTTTATGGTTGACTCCTGAGTCTAGTATGGCTGATCCCGGGCTTCGGTTTGACAGCTAATCCCACCTCGTTCCACTGCATGCTCCCACGCTTCCCTGATCAAGGCAACTCGTCTGGGGATCGATTCTGGATGGGCTGGTGGAGCCAATCCCTCTTCCACCCAGGACGAGGCGGAGGACGGGGGGAGACAGGAGGAGAAGAAAGGATGAGAAGGAAGAGGGAGGGGGGGAGGCGTTTCCTCCATCTGAATCTCCTGGAGGGGGTTCCCCCTCCCCGTGCGATGTCTCGACGCAGCGACTGCGGGAGAAGGAGGCAGAAGGAAGGTGAAAGCAGGGAGAGGGCGTAGGGAGGCAAAGAAGGGGGGCTGTGGATAGGAGAACAGTAATTCGCACAGCTTCCACCTCCAAAGGAACCCGCTGACATAACATTTAAACACGTGGAGGTTGTAGCTTTCGCCGCCCTGGGGGGAGGGAGAAAGTGACCACGTGCGCCCCTCGGGGGCTGCTGGAGAAACAAATGCTTTACGAGGCGGATCCGAGCCCCCCTCTCCTCGTCTCCTCCCGCTGCCCGAGGGGCTGCTCCGGCGCCCTCGATGCCGATCCTCCATCTCCTCCATCATCAAGCCTCCTCGATCCTCGATCCCACTCGGTCGGTCCTCCTCGATCCTCGATCCTCCCCCCGCTCGTCGTCCCCCCTCCCCCCTGGATCCCTCCGCTCGCGCCTCGCGTCGGGCGCGAGGCGCGAATACCTTCGCGATGTCCCGCGCCGGGCGCGGGCGCGGACGCGGGCAGGGGCGCTCGGCTGCGACCCCCGCCCGCTGCGGGAGGGGTGCCGCATTCGGCTGCTCCCCCCCCCGGCGAGGCGGCGCGCAGAAGTGAGGGGGGGCCCAAGTCAAAGCGCCCAGGGAAATAAAAATAAAGTTAACACAAGTTCCAGCAGTCCTGAATTGTCGTCATATGATCCAGATGTTCGTCGTCGCCTCCATTTCCATATATTTGCCTGTATTTTCCTTGAAACCGACGCTCCCTTGATCCTGTGCCTCTTCTTCCCCGCCGATTAAAGGGGGGATTCTGTGGAAGCACGGGAACTCCGATCGAATCGCCTGCCCATCCCGCTGTGGCCTCCCAATCCAGTCTGGTTCCAACCCCCCTCCGCTGCCACGCGCATGCGTTCCACATGTTTGCTTAGAGGCGGGCGCTTCTTTTACAATTTGAGGACCAGTTGTGGCTGGACAAAAGTTACGTATGTTCGGGTGTAAGTGCCGCAAGTGGAGTAAGATGTTTGCAAGTGATGTAAGTGGTTGCTTGGCTTTTTGATTACAGCTGTGATACTTGTAAGTATGAATCAGCTTTTGGGCAATGAGCCAAGATACTTATTAAGGATAAATAAGTAAGTTACTCGTACGCCATACATACTGGCACATATACAGAACTTAACAGAACTTGAACACACATCCTCCACTCACCCCCCTCCACGACTCGCGCGGCTAGCCGCGGTTCGTGCGCGGGACGCCCCGCCGATGCCGCGAATGCCTGACAATAGAGATAACGCTCGATTGAGGGACGTAGTGGGGTGATGACGGTAGCGATTGCGATCGCTAGAGGGAGGAGAAAGGGAGGAAAGTCGATAACGGAAGTAACGATGGCGATCGCCTGAGGAGGCCATTGGGATGATGGGAGGGGGGAGGGGGTGGTGGTGTAGCGATTGCGATCGCTTGAGGAAGGAAGATGAGGAGAAGGAGGAGGAAGAGGAAGAGGAGGAGGACGAGGAAGTCCATGAGGGAGATAGCGATGGCGATCGCTTGACGGAGGTAGTGGGATGATGGGAGAAAGCGAGAGCGATCGCTTGAGGGAGGAAGAGAAGAGGAAAGTAAAGCTGAGCAAGGAGATTGAGGCTGCACGCGCGGTTTCGCGCGTGCCGCGTGCCGCGCGTACGGCGCCCATTGGCACAGCGGGAGCAGCGTGCCGCGGGGCGCGGCGCGCCCTCCCCTCCAGGCGCCCTGTGGCACAGGTGCTGCTGGCGCAGCTCACGAGGCGCTGGCGCAGCTCAGGGCCGCAAGAGCTCAGGAGCTGATGGCGCCGCTCACGATGTCGGCCCCCCAGGAGTTGCCGGCGCAACTCAGGGCCGCCCCCAGCGTCCTCGCGAAGCTCCCGAAGGGCAGCGAAGCGTGGCAGGAGATCACGAATACCCAGGCCACTGCGGCGTTGTCCACGATGCAGTCGTGGACGCACATCGCCGCCGAGGGCTCCGCCGGGCTCGTGGTGGAGATCTCACAGCTGCCACTCGGCAAAAAGAAGCAGGGTGATCTCCTGAAGGTGCTCGCCTCGCTGGCGACGGCATCGGCGATGGTGCTGCAGGCCAACGCAGCGGCGAGCCAGCAGTTGCTTAGCTCGTCGCGCACGCCCCAGCAGGAATCCTTTGCCATCGCTGCCCACCGGACGGCGAGGCAGTGGGTGGCCATCCTGGACGGGGACAACGA